AACACAATATTTATTACATAACATTTCAAAAGAAAACTACAATGTTTATAATACATATATGCAAATACTTACATACTACACGAATATCGACTGGTATTTCCTATCGCACAAAAAAAAACAAAACATGAAAGCGCAACTATGGCGCTGCAACATCCACCGGAAACCCTAACAGCCTACCTAAAAGAGCTCTCTTAAGCAGATATATATATATATGTGGTTTTCCGGGAGCCGGATCTTCTCAGCTCAAAAATTTCTTTAAAATTGGTATTGTTGGTTTGGTGTTTTCCTGGTTTGACGGGACACCGAAAAAATTACATACGAATTAAAAGTAATTAATTTCGAAACAGAAAGCGTGGTAAAAAGAATATTAATATCTTAAAGCTATTGCCTTGACTCCACCCCTGGATTTCCACGAGCTCGTTTCCCTGCTGCAGTTTATGGTCAAAAGCTTAACACAATGTTAATTAACAGAGTGGTTGTAGTACATGCAGACCGACTCAACGGGTGACACCAATAAAATTCTCTGGCGCTATTGGCGATATGGGGCATTCCCTCTCATAACACATTCGTAAAAGGTATAAAATTTCGTATAACTTAAAAATCTACCACTCACCAGCGAGTTGTGCCGCACCCCTCTGCATCCACGTACGGTCGTACAAATTTAAACTCCTGGCACACTAGGGCAAATCACCAAAAACAAAAAAAATAAATGCCTAATATTACTTTCAAATTGGAACCATTTAACTTGTTAAAACAAAAAGAGCTTTTTGGAAAACACAATCGTCCACATTGAACATTTGGAGTTAACTTTGACGGTTGTTTGATTACCAATAAAAATTTGAAAAAAAAAAATATTAAAAATCAAGTTTTTGTGTCAATTTGTTTTGTGCGAATGTGTCTTCACCGAATTTACTGCGAAACATGGACCAACGTCTCGCAAAATTAAATGACCTGCTTGCAAAACAAATTCAGGAATCCGAGAATAGAATTATCGAGCTTTTCTGCAAAAAGTTCGAAGAGAAATTCGACGGTATCAAACGTGACCTGAACGCTGTAAATGATAGTCACACGCCTAGAGGCGGCGTTCGGTCATGTTGGTGTTCTCGAAGACGAGCTCGCTGCTTTAAAAATACAAGTTTCCAGACAAGAAAGTATAATTTCCGCTTGCGATGTTCGTGTAACGGGGATACCTCATGAGGAAGGTAAAAACTTGCAAAGCATTTTCCATCACCTCTGTTTTTCGTTAGACACTCAACCACCTCCCATTAAAAGCATTTTTCGGACTAGAAAAACTGAAAACTCCACAACTGACCCTGCCATAATTATAAAGTTTAATACTGCCACAGAGAAGAACGGTTTGCTTAAAACCATATCAAATTTTAGACGTATAAACAAGAAACCGCTACAGCTTACACTCGTGGGTATTAACTCGGACGCCCACTTCTATGTTAATGAGTCTCTGAGTAAACATAACCACGAAATATTTAAATCTGCTTTCCATCTAAAAAAGCGAAAAAAAATTGCCGCCGTTTTTACAAAACGGGGGATGGTCCACATCAAACGGTTGGGCAGTGATAGGCCGCAAGTTATATATACCTTTGCAATCTAGAAAACACCAGTCCTGCCGCCGTAATGGAACATTCCTTTCGTGACGCCAAAGCCTAAGAACATAGCAGCATATCAACGCAACAAACTTCAACTTAAATGCGAACTTCGTATGCTGTTACTAACTAATTTGTATTTTATATTTTTAAATATTGCTTTCGTCTTTTGTCATGATCTTTCTTTTGCCTTTTACGTACACAAATCTTGTAAATGTTACGGATATCTTTCATTGCTTAACTTTTTAGAACCTAGATGCAGTGCCATAATTAACTTACATAACTTTTATAATGTCGCCCTTAGCCTTTAAGCGAACGAGTTCCAAAGACTGTTTATACAGCATGTTGCGTATTATTAGCAAGCGTGCCACAGGCTTTAAGATAGTACATTTGAATGCGCAAAGTTTGTTTAACTCGACGAATTTAGATATCTCATCGAAAATTCAGATATTCATGTTGTGTGTATATCTGAAACGTGGTTTTCCTCGCACCACAACAATAATATTTTGCATGTAAATGGTTATCAACTTTTTAGAGCTGATAGGCGTGATCATGGTGGAGCTGTAGCAATATATGTATGTAAAAAATGGTCTGTCTTGTAAATTAAATTGTGTGTCGTCTTGTGGTGCTTTGGTCGAATATGTGTTCGTTGACGTATGTTCAAACAATAAAAAAATTCTTGTTGGTTGTGTATATAGGCCTAACCGTAGTGTCTACTTTACGGACTTTACGGATTTCTTGGAACCGCTACTCGTGAACTATAATGACATTTTAATTGCAGGAGACTTTAATAGTAACTTGCTCATGGATACCAGTATAAGATTGAGTATGGAGTCGCTGGGGCTCTTCCCGACAAATACTTCCTTGCCAACGCATTTCACCTCTACTAACAGCACACTTTTTGATGTATTCTTTGTAAGTGATCTGCGGAAATCCCTCTATTACAATCAACTATCTGTACCAACATTTTCAAAACATGACCTAATATTCCTGATATTTGATTTCCAAATATCCGAATCGCCAACTTCTTTCTCATATCGCGACTTTAAAAACATTGACTATAATTCTCTTGCAGCTGCGGTCGATTCGGTTGACTGGGACTTATTCAGAACTTGCAATCCATCGATGAAAAGACGTTGTTCTTGCAAAATCAAATAAATATGCTTTTCGAAAACTTCGTTCCCGTTAAGCTGAAAGTATTAAAAAACGAAAGCAGACCCTGGTTTAATTCTGCGATAAAAAACTTGATCGCCACTCGTAATCACGCTTACTCGCGATGGAAACGGTATAGATCTCCGGACCCCTAAGTCGTTTTAAAAGAGCCCGTGTTGCAGTTAACAAAGCCGTAAAGTCGGCTAAGTCAATGTTTTACAAAGAAAAATTCGAAACTGCAGTAAACTCCTGGCAAACCTGGAACACTATTAAGAAGATTGGAGTAGGCAAATCCGTTGAAAATGTTCCCTCCACTTTGGATGTCAATGAGCTAAATAAGTCCTTTGTAAGACAAACTGTATCTGGTGATAATATATGTTATGAGTACTACCGTGATCGTGTAAATGTTAATGCTAGTCCTTTTGTTTTTGTCGGTGTTGATGATTGCGATGTTGTCCAAGCCATACTCTCCATTAAGTCCAAAGCAGCTGGACTTGATGGAATTAGCTCAGTCTTTCTTAAGATTATTCTACCAAAGGTTCTGCCACATTTGACTTTCCTAATCAATTCTATTTTGACAACTTGCGTTTTTCCGAAATGCTGGAAAGTCGCTAAGGTTATACCTATTCGGAAGACAAATAATGAGTTCCGGCCTATATCTGTTTTGCCTTTCTTGTCAAAAGTAATCGAGCGTATCCTGCACAAACAAATCTGTGCATATGTGTATGATAACAGTCTCTTGACTGACCGCCAATCGGGCTTCAGAGGTAGTAGAAGCTGCACCACGGCCCTTTTGGATGTAACGGAGAGCATCAGATCGCAAATTGATGCCAACAACATCAGTTTTCTGACACTTCTCGACCACTCGAAAGCTTTTGACACTGTGGATCATAAACTTCTATGCCTTAAGTTGAGAAACTTATTTAATTTCTCAGGTCACGCAACTGCTCTGATCAGATCTTACCTTGGCGACAGAACTCAAACTGTGAGTATTGGCGGCATAACGTCAGATTTCCTGGCCGTATCTAAAGGAGTACCGCAAGGGTCAACCTCGGCCCGCTTTATTCGTCCTATAATTAATGACCTTCCTAAAGTGTTGAAAATCTGTAATGTACACATTTATGCTGATGATGTGCAATTGTATGTAAGCTGTTCTGTTAGTCGTGTCCGTAATTGTATTAGTGACTTAAATTCTGATTTGTCTCGTGTAGCTAATTGGGCCTCAATGAATGGTTTATGCCTTAATCCGGGAAAGTCTAAATGTATTGTAATTCATAGAAAATATCTCGATATTAATTATCTCGACAAAATTAGGCTAGATAAATCTGAAATTGAATATGTTGACAGGGCTAAAAATCTTGGCGTCATCTTTAACAACACATTGACATGGAATGAGCACATCTTTAACTCAGTAGGTAAAGTGTATGGAATGCTTCGTACACTCTGGTCAGTACAGTATTTCACTCCAATAAATATAAGACTACTATTAGCTAAAGCGTACTTAATACCTACTGTTGGGAATTAAAGCAAAAATAACACGAACTCCGTTTGGGTATTTGCTATTCTCAGTTTAATATACAAATATTGCGGTTGAGAGGGAGGGAGCTTATTATCTGTATTAAGTAATATAAGTTAATAAGATACAATTTCATGTAATTCAACTTACTTATTTGCTATTTGTTCCCATCAACCTGCTTTTTCAATAGCCTTGCTCTTTATCATGAAAAATGGTTGCTAAGAAGTAGCGTTACCTTTTTGTATCTTACAAATGTGTTGCAGGGTGACTTACATAACAAGGATTTCAAATTTCAGTTAATTTTCAAATTAATATCGTAAATGTCAGATCTGTCTGACATAATACATAAATACAAAATTGCTGGTTGCACGTTCAACTGCTCAACATCCCGCCGCCCGTGAATCTGATCGGGATTTCAGATCTGGATTCAGATTCACCAAGTAAATCTAGTACTGCGAGTTTGGAAGCAGGCCTTCGTAGATAACCAGCTGATGTTTTTGCTGTTGCGGATCTTACTTGTCCGTCAGCTGCCAGAAATACGTCAGTCACGATTCCTCGTTTCCATTCACCACGAGATTCGTCATCATCACAAATAATCACGACGTCGCTAATTTGAATAGGCTTTACGAACTGATGCCATTTAGTTCGGCGCGTAAGTTCTGGAAGGTACTCCAGGACCCATCTCTTCCAAAAGGTTTGCTTAAGTTGTTGAACTATGTGCCACTGCTTACGTAAGCATACTTGTTCGTCCACTGTTGGAGTTTGCACGAAGTTCGGGCCACCAAGTAGAAAGTGGTTCGGTGTTAGAGGCTCGGCGCTGTCACTTTCTAGCGGTAAATGTGTTAAAGGACGCGAGTTAACTAGATTCTCAGCCTCGATAAGTAACGAAATTAGCGTTTCCGCTTGTGGAGCCTTCTCTTTTAGCACAAAGGCTAATACACGCTTCACGGAGCGAACCATTCGCTCCCATATTCCACCAGCTGATGGATTTGCAGGGGTGTTAAATACCCACTCCACGCCACGCCTTGCACATTCATCTGCCACACGTTGATCGATTAGCACTAACTCCTCTTTACTGGCGTCTACAAAATTAGTACCCCTATCGCTTCTGATGCGGACGGGCACTCCTCGTCGGTTCATAAAATTCCTCAAGCATACTATTGTTGAGTCCGCCGATAAATCTTTTGCGAGCTCGATATGTATTGCCCTAATAGACATGCACGTAAAGAGCGCCACCCACCTTTTCTCATGCCGCCGACCCACGGTCACCGCTAATGGGCCGAAATAGTCTAGGCCCACGTATGAGAAAGGTCTGATAAACGGAATAAGACGGTCTTCCGGCAATTGTCCCATGAGGGGTGGCTTTGCCTTAGCGGACATATTTTTGCACAGCTGGCAATGCACCTTTGCCGATCGAACATGCTGTCTTATACATGGTATCCAAAACTTGCGACGAATCACTGAACAAATAGTGTCCTGATTTTGATGCTGATACCGCTCATGAAAATGACGTACAATCAATGTAGTTAAGGCGTGAACCTTCGGTAGAATTATAGGCCGATTTGTATCTGCGGCAACACATTTCGCTCTATCAATACGACCTGCCAATCGTAAGACCTTGTCCTCATCCAATATCGGGGTTAGGCTATAAATTGTACTACTCTTTGGCAAAAACTTGCCGTCCGCCAATAACTGAATCTCTTCGCCGAAGACTTCCCTCTGAGCCAAGCGACAAACTTCGATTTCAGCGGTTCTTAACTCTGCTGCCGATAAATTTTGATGTACGTGAAAACGCGCTTTACCTTTGTCCTTAAATTTAGCCATCGCGCGACGGACCCAGCAGATCACTCTCAGAAGCTTGTAATAGTTCGAGTATCTTGCGAACTCTATACATCGATCAGTCTCAGAAATAGTCAGTAAACTTTTTGGGCGCCTTTCAGTTGCACTTTCCTGCTCGCTCATATCTACTGGCATAGAAGGCCACTTATCCTTCGGAAACTTTAAAAACTGTGGGCTTTTTCGTCTTCAGTCGGGTTGCATCGTCAGCAGGGTTCAATGACCCGGGCACCCATCTCCATTGACCGACGCCTGTTGAATCCAAAACTTCTGCGATACGGTGTGCGACGAATTGTTTGTAATAGCGACAGTCCGAGCGTATCCAGTTTATGACCGTTTTAGAGTCAGACCAGAAGATTATCTCCTGCGGCTTCACATCATGGCTTTGAACAATAGCGTTCATTAGTCTAACGCCGAGGACTGCTGCCTGTAGCTCCAATCTGGGAATGGACAGAGGTTTAATTGGGCTGCATCTCGACTTCCCAGCCGCGAACACCACACCGACTTCGTTTAAATAACAGATCCGCCAGTATACTAGAGCATAGAAAGCCACTTCGCTCGCATCTACAAAAATATGCATATCGACGTGAGAATTCGGGTCAGTAAAATTGCTGTGATAGCACCTCGGTACGCTTATGTTTTCTACGTCCGCCAACTCCATGTACCAATCATACCACTTGCGGTAAATATCATCTGGTATTGGTGAATCCCAGCCCACGTTGACTCTCCACAATTCTTGTAGCAGTATTTTAGATTTGATAACGATATTGGCCAAAAATCCGCATGGGTCGTATATGGACATCGTAAGGCTCAATACCTCGCTTTTGGTAGGACGACGATTGCCACTCA